TTGATATTAGTGCATGCTTTGGATGTGAAGATGCAGAAGATGCATTGAGGAATTATTCATTGTCTGAAAACTGTGGGGAAGAGCAAGGGCTGTGGGTTTTCTCTAGAAAGCTCTGCCATAGTTTCCCTGTCTTGGTCAAAGTATTTTTATATAAATTAAGAATACACACCTCTATTTCTATGCTCTTGTTTTCTCACACTATTCAGATGACTTTCACTGGCTTGTTCCTGAGACTTACTCTTTTTGGCAGAGCAAAAAGAAAAAAGGATGATGATGAGGAAGACAAGAATCATGGTCACTGACAGTCCAATCAGCATATGCAGGTTCCTGTGGGTATCTGGAGGAAGATGTGAACCAAGTAACAGGTAAATCTTAGTATCCCCATTTTGACAGATTGCATGGTATTTATCGATTGATGTATAATTGATATAATATTGCTTTAGGACGAGAGTCTTGATGGAGAACCCACTAATAATATCCTGCTCAATATAAACAGCATTAAATGAACTTCTAATGAATTATGATTATATCCATATATGAATATATTTCTCAACTCTCACCAGAGGAATCTACATTTGTGATAGATGGTGACTAATACAGATACCAACAACTGGGCAAGTTGTGGAGATGAAGACACTATAGAATTATGGCACTAAATGAGATGTTCACATCTCAAATCCTTCTCCAAATGTTCAGTATCATTGTGAAAGCTATGGAGGAAGAGATTGCAAAAAGAGGCTATGGATAACTATAAGAAAGCTGTCTTCTGTACACTGAGGGCAGGTGAATATATGAACTTCACAGGAGGTTGAGATAGCATGCTCAAGAATGGTGCAAGTTCAAGCATGACCAAATGTCATCATGGAGAGTGGAGGTGGACATGAAGTCCCATCCCTAGTCAAGGGGCTATGGGCTATTTGTGATTGTTGGGAGAATGAGTGTCAGTTTCAGGAGAGTTTCTACTAGTAAATTGACTATGCTCCAGCAGAGGTCCACATATCCAGGAATATATTGGTGTTATGCAAGTGGCAGAAAACTGCAGGACCCTAGGTTCAAATCGTGTTCAGTAGCTAAATCTGAGATTGAGATCAGTGCTCATTAGATCTGCTTTGCTTCTGTGACACCTTGAACTAAACATTTAATTCTCTTGTAGGGAAAAATTGAAGTCAAGTCTAATCTGTCAGAAGTAGCATTTTTTTATATAAAATTTCCCCTTCCGCTCACTTGTTTCCTTCTTCAGGCCTCATCACCTCCTCTCCAGGAGGAACAGAGCTAGAATGAGAACTTCATTGATCCTGGCAAGGGAGAAAACTTACTCTCCTTTTCACTCACTAAGGTCTCAGGTACACAAATTAGAGATGAATAGTCATTAAATTTCCCATGCTGCTCTAAATAACACCTAATGTTGCTGAGATCAAGAATCAGAGAGGGGAGATGAAGATGATAAGAATACAGAGTCAAGAAGGAGCTGAAACAAAAATAAACCAAAGAGCTTTTGGTCCCTAATTTTCCACAATAGAGAAGAGGAATCAGTTACTCACTAGTTGTGGAGTCTGCTTCTGTGCTTGAGGTGAAATTTCTTGTTGAGTTAACTAGAGAAGGGGACATGAGAGGGAGAAAGTTCATCAGAGGCTGTCTGCCTTCCCCTTAAGGAAAGTTTTTTAAATTTGGAGAGTGAACACCACCCACTCCACCTCTTAGTGCTGAGCCTGTAGAGTTATAGGATGACATTTAGTGGATTGCTTCTGGGTGTTGGCTCTCTCTTTGGATTTCAAGTTTTGATGATTCATAGGACTGCTGTGGGAAGATCTATGTGAGCAAGAGTTCAAGAGGGCTGCT